GTTTGGAAGTGTCTTGGTAGCAAAATGTAACTTTGGTAGAGCACTGACAGACCAGCTGTTTCGGGTCTTAAACCCATCCTCAGAGTGCTTAGAGCAATCAAATAGGCGGAAACACAATCATAATTTATTCAAGAGAAACATAGAAACCAAAAACCCATATAAAAGAAAACTAGTAAACATAGACTAAAACAGACACTTTTTCTACCAGATGATTTCATTGTCCGAGTCTTGCTCAGGCTGAAAAACAAAATCTTCTGTAACCTCCGGGAGTACAACAAGTGGATCTTCTGCTACTACAGCAGCCACTTTAGCCTTCTTCTGAGAGTTGGATTTACCATTCCCTCTTTTCCGTTTTTGTACTCTCACTGCTGCCACTCGGACAACAGTAGGTTCCTTGGACCAACAATCGGTCCATTTGTGTCTGGACTTGCCGCACTATTGCACAAGTCAGTCTATGCACTCTACCAATAGGGAGTACCGGAAGGTCATACCTTCAAGCATACTTCTGCTTTCCTTCTTTCTTCTAGAATATCCCCCGGGATACCCTTCAGTTCCACCGCTTTGTCTTTAGGTCCTGGAGTCTTCTGAGGTCCGGAGGAGCTCGCAGCTTCTCTTTTCCTCTTAGGCTGCTGGTCCTTCTGAGCGGGAGGATCTTTCTTGGTCCGAGGGTGCGCTTTCTCAGCTGCCATCCCTTGGTACCTCTCATGGGTATGCCCTAACTCTCTTAGAGCAGCTATCCGCTCCATCAAGGACTTTGGCTTGGGGTTGAAAAGAGCCCAACTCATGCCTAGGTCCGGGAGGAGGGAGTTATGGATCTTATCATCCACCAACTGACCCTCATAGCCAGTCTTCCACATCAGCTGAATAATAGTATTCAGGAAGAGGTCTATTCCTCCTCGAGCTGTGTGGGTGAGGGTATTCCATTGGGCTACAGCATCATCTCTAGAGATGGCTTCACCGAAGGCAGCTCTAAAAGCATCCACAAAGGAATCCCAGCGCTTCCATCTCTGATCCAACTGCACCGGTATTCCAGCAAGGCGGTTGGCGGAGGCTTGATCAATTGAATTGTGGTATGCCTCATACCATCGGATCGCTGCCTCCCCTTCCATCAAGTTGCCTGCATATCGGATCTTAACCTCCTCAGAGGTAAATGACAGGCTCTCAATGGAGAACACATTCTCACATTGCCGGATGAAGGTTTCCACTTGCTCCGCCTTGCCTTGGAACTTTGATGGTGGTGGTGCCTTTGGTTCTCGAGCTCTGGTGGAAGTAGAAGGGTGGGAGGTGGTCGGAGGTTGATACTGCTGGGACATCATTGCCAACAGATTCTTCTGTTGCTTCTCCAACTTCTTCTTAAGGTATCTCCGCCAACCTCTTCTGTTATTACCTTCTGGTTCCGAGTCTGAGCTGTCGGAATTATCCGAATCTCCTGGGGCGGGAGCACGGGCTGCTGGAGGTGGAGGGTTCTGATTTCCGCCACTTCCTCCCTGTGCCTGAGCTGGAGGGGGAGCAGCGGCCGCAGCAGGAGGGGCCACAGGTGCTACTGGTGCCGGGTTGCTAGCCAGTGGTGAGGTTGCTGCTGGTTGAGCAGCCCCAGACATGGTAAACCTTCCTGGGTTCCTGGCTAGCGGACTAGGAGGTCCTCGGCCTGCACCTGAGAAGAACTCTCCTTCATAGTCAAAGGATCGGTCGGCTCCTCCAAGGAGTGGATGTGTTCCACCGAAGCGGCTAGGTGGTAAGGGTGAAGCCCCCACCGCTGGCTGTACAATAGGGATAACTCTCCTAGTGGATCGGACCGGAAATGCTGCAAAGGGGCTGGTCTTCCGCTGCATTGTCCTGGTAGCTGCTCTGGAAGAGGACCTGGAGACTGGAAGTGGTGCCGGAGTTGCTGGTCTACCCACCACCAACCTTCCTTCATCAAGAGCTCTCTGTATCTCGGCAACAAAGTCTGGTGGAGTGGCCGGATTTGTCCACTCAATCTCCATGGCATCAACATCGGCATTTAGTTCATCTCTTTCTGCATACTTCCGGAGCTCTTCCTGAACAGAGTTGACTTCCGACCTCATGTACTCTAGAGCTTCTGCCATCAGAGCATTCTGTGCTGCCTGGCGCTCTTGTACAATGAGCAGTGCCTGACTGCCTCGGTTCAACTGACTCTGCAAGCTATGCTGGAGGTAGGTCTGAAGCTCTGTGAAGAACTGTTGTAAGGAAACCTCATCGGTATCCTGCCAGGCAGGCTCACAGCCGGGAATATAGGCCTGTAGAGCGGTCCTGGGTTTCTTAACAAGCTGTGTCTGCCCGGTGGCATCAAGCTGGAGGGGCACCGGCTGCCATTCAATCTGAAGGGGTGCATCTGGAGCCGAGAGGGCGGACATTTTGTATAGAGGAAGAATAATCTGAAGGTGACTTGAGCCTTAAAGATTATCTGTAACGGGGGTCCTTTCTAAGAGAAATAGATTTGTATAGAATAAAGACGGCCGTGCAAGATAGACAATCAGGTTGCAGATTATTCAAAGATACTATCGCTAGAACTCAATAATCTTTAAGGGCTCTGCTACCGATGAGAACTTGGTTTTTCTTTCTGATGAAGACTGGAGAGAATAGGACTGAAGGGCGGGAATGAACCTGAGTACTTATACTCCGAAGGCCTCTGTTCTCTGCTCCTAACTCCTTTACTAAGTTCCGGTGGGCCTTCCCTCAGTACCGGAAACAATACCACCGCTACCCCGCTTTTCTCTAAGCGTCAGCAGGTGTTTCCGATACCCAAGGCAACCACCCTTAGTCAAAGCCTTTGTAACACCTGCAGCCTTGGTTGCCACACAACTGAGGACCTGCATGAATGAGCTGCCGCTCAGGTGTAAGCTTAATCATTGCTGTAGAGCTTTCGCTTATTGTAGACTTCCCTAGCATAGTCCCTGCCCTTCGGCGGACTTACAATGCACCGAGGATACAGAGGATCACCGGTCAATCAGAGCTTCACTCTGGCCGGTCTTCTAGTCACTGGCGAGGCATAGACTCGTCAGTCATTGCTCCCATGAATAGATCCTCTTCCTAGCGCCCGGAATGTAGTTACTCTAACAGCTGGTAGCTAACCACACTGCCGGTACTTGCATATCACCGTGCAACTGGCTTCTAACAATAGCTCTCAGCATGTAACCGGGCCCTGTGTGTACTCATACACCAGACAGTTGAAATGGCTCCGTTACAGGTGGTAACTTATCTGCTTCCGATGGTAGGAAGACTTTAAGGAACCCATGGAGCCAAGAGGGAAGAGTCTCGCGGAGGTTAACCGATTCATCTTCCAAAAGACAAATACTACCGATGAATTGGGCCTCCGGATCGTCCAGTACACCCTCGTCCATTTCTATTTGAGGTTCCTTGTCAGTGAAGCATCGACTCTTGCAGTTCTCGCCCTCGTAGGAAACTTCCCCATTTACGCCTATAACCGGCTTGTGTTCTTTCAACCACCAGTTCGGTAATATTGCATCGATGCCAAGTGGGAGAGGGGCGATTTCGAATGACAACTGTGTTTGGTGCCCCCTCGACATTATAATTAATGGTTGTGTAAAGGCGTGTCCCGTGCCCTTCATAACTTCTCCCGTAAATCCAAATACCCGGGCCGGGACGTCTCGTTTCACCTTCGGGACCTCAAAACTATCAACAAAAACAGCAGACAAAACAGGACCAGTTGCACCAGTATCCAACAACACCTTACAAGGTAAACATTTTTCCACAAAACAAAGGAACTGATTAACGATAGGTCGAGGACCGTGAATGGGTTCCTCCAAAATTTTCTGTTTTTTCTCCGGTGGGGACGCTCTCCCCTCCTGCCTTTTTCTTTTCATATTTTTTTTATTGTTTTCCGTCAGTGACAACATAGCAATCTGGGGATACTCCTGACCTGACTCATCAGAGTCCCCTTCTAAAAACCCATATCGAAATCCATCTCAGATTCCGATCCTCGTTCTCGCACAAACACTTGCCCACTGGTATACTCCGCAGCACCCGTAGCAGCCGGCTTCCTAGCACGGTGCCTCATACGCTTTCTCTGAGGTTGGGGTTCCGGTGGTTCCATATCGTGATCGCCATCGTCATCGCGGGTATGCTTTCGGGAGAAAGAGGAGATAGATGCACTGCTATTAGCATCTGAACGACACCATTTCCAAAGATGACCCTTTCGGCCACATCGCACACAGACACCATCAGTCTTTCGCTGGTCTCGGACCGGCTGTGGAATTCCTTTGGTGGCTTCGTCGTGGTCGTGGTATATTGGCTTATTCCCCGACTTGTTCTTGCTGGTGCTCTTCTTATCTTGCCCTTTTTCCTTCTCCTCAGTCTGAGCCCTCCCCTTGATCTTAAACCCCTTCTCCTTCTGCCGCGAGTTCCCACCATTATTCGAGTCCCTTCCTCTCGACTCCGCTTTCCCCAACATCTTCATCTGCTCTTGATAAGCCTCGTGAGCCTTGCCGGCTCGTTCCAACTGTTTGTAACAGCAGCTAGGCGGGTTGGCTATGTGAGTTGTCTGGGTATAAGAGAGAAGGATTATGCAGTGTGGTTGGGTTTAGTGAAGCGGGTTTCTATTATGTTCTTTCTGTTTCTGTTACGCGAGGGTATGAGTCAGCATTGGGATAGGGTATGGATATATAAGGGGGGCGTTGTCTCGTGATTTCTTGTTTCTCTTTCTTTTCCTTTTCTCTTTATGCAACCTCTGTACTTTACAGTCACGAATACTATTTGGTTCGCGCTACGTCATAGGGTTTACCCGGTATACTAGACCAGGTACAACCATCCATAGTCCATAGTCCACAGTCCCCGTTCTTGCCTTAGATGTACCCTTCGGCCCCATAGTCCATAGTCCACGAACCTCCTACGTCCACGTCTTCGCCTCGGTTGTATTCCTTGGCTTCATAGTTCCTACGCCCATAGTCCCCGTTACACTTAGGTTGGATCCTCTACAGCCAACCAATACAACACCGCCTCGCTTAGCTCTGGTCGTGACCATGTCCGACACCACTCAAGATACGTTGCTGCAGCGTCTTTCAGAATTTTTGACCACAGATGGTCCTCTCCCAGTGGATATAGACTTCGGTGATGAACTTACCGAGGCCCATGATCTCATTGCTGAATGTTTGGAGGCTTTAACCAAGCCTTCTGAAATCCCCGAACCAGTTATCGACACGGCCCAAGAAGAGGTCATTATCGGCCTCACCAAAGAACTCGAAGCAGCTGACGAAAAGGCTGCCGATCTATTGCAAATCTTGTCCGAATGCCAGGAAGAGTCTACCGAGACTATCCGGGGCCGCGATGAAGTTATTGTTGCTCTCAAGGGCGAGCTTGAGGAGTCTAAGGCCGAAGAGGAGGAGTTTTGATATCGCCTGGCACTACATCAGGAAAGTCTCGCCATCGCTGACGAGAACCTCGCTGATGCTGAAGATGAGATTCTTCACATCACCTCTGTTGCAAAGGCCTGGGAGGCCCAAGCCAATGCCACCATCGCTGATCTTCGTTCTCGCATCTCCGCCGCCATAGTTAAACCCCGATCCCGGCATGTCTCCGTTAAACCTCGTTATCTTACCCCTCGCTCCCAAGACCCCCGTACCATCAACAATTGGCGAGAAAAGCCAATTGAACAAGTGTCTCAAAAGCCGGCGTTAAAAGGTCAGCCCCTTTGGTAAAGAATGACAAACCAAAGGGGCAAACCCCGCCACCTGTCTCTGTTCTTCCTGCTATTACTGTGTCCGAAGATAAGATGTCTGAAGACTCTCTTGTCGTCACCTGCTCTGTCTCCCAAGATCCCGACTCCTTCGTTCCTACCTATGCTCTCATCGATACAGGAGCATCAGGATATGCGTTTATTGATCAAGGTTTTATGGAAAAATATGGACTCTCCTCCGAACCCCTGAAGACACCACGCCTCCTTGAGGTAATCGATGGTAGGCTAGTCGAATCAGGAAAAATTACCCACGTCGCTCGTCTTTCATTAGATATCCATGGTCACCAGGAAACTGCTCCATTCTTCGTTACCCAGTTGAGTCACTATCCGATTGTATTGGGAATACCTTGGATGCGACATCATGATGTTACGATTCGGCCGAAGGAAAATTTACTTGTTTTTGACTCTCTAAGCTGTTGTCAACACTGTTCACTCAGTAGAACGACAGTTACTGTCCATGGAATTTCGATCCCTCTACCGGAACATCATACTGTTGTCGTTTCAGCAGTTGAAAAATCCACCGTCGACGTCAAGCAACTAGTACCAAAGGAGTTCCACCATCGTCTCCATATGTTCCAAGAATATGATGTTTCAGTCCTTCCACCACATCAGCCGTCACATGATATTGAGATCGTATTGGAGGAAGGTAAACGACCACCGTACGGACCAATATATGGATTATCCCAGGTTGAATTAAAAGCACTACGGGAATACCTTGACGAAAATCTACCTAAAGGATTTATTCGAGCCAGTGAGTCACCAGCGGGAGCACCCATACTATTCGTAAAGAAAAGTGATGGGACTCTTCGGCTTTGCGTAGATTATCGGGGCCTCAATGCAATCACGATCAAAAATCGGTATCCGTTACCATTGTTAAAAGAAACCCTGGCCAAGTTATCAAAAGCGCAATATTATATCAAGCTGGATCTACGTTGGGGATATAACCAAATCAGGGTCGCCGAGGGAGACGAATGGAAGACGGCGTTCAGGACTCGTTATGGACACTTCGAGTATACTGTAATGCCGTTCGGATTAGCTAATGCCCCTGCCACGTTCCAACATTGGATCAATGATATTTTACGACCATACCTCGACCAATTTGTGACAGCATACCTAGATGACATTCTTATCTACTCGGAAACCCTGGCAGAACACAAAGAGCACATTCGAAAGGTTTTGAAAGTACTTGATGAGAATCATGTTCACTGTGAGGGATGCGTACCAGACCACAAGAGTACACTACGCAGAGCTCAGAGTTCGGCTAACAGCTACAAAGGTAGAAGTCTCCAAGGTCTCTTCAGTCAACGTCGAGTATGATTCTCCTTGATCCGATACGGGCCCCGCGAGCTACGTTATCAACAAAGATTCACTAGAGTTAGCGTATAGTATTCGACCGTCTTCGACGTAATAGTTCAGGTAGAGTTCGAAGTCACGATAGAATAAAGTAATTCCAAAAGTATATTCAAATAAAGTTGTAACTCGCGTATCAACGATTTATATTGTTAAGACTCTGATTTCGCCGATAATGGTTTGGCTAGTCAGTGAATGACACAGTATTTATATCCCTCGCTTATGTCTCGAGGACCCAGTCTACTAATAATACAGAATACACTCGGGGCATGCCCGAGACCCTGAAAAACAACCAAGAACATTTAATTCCTAAGTCCGCTGAAACCCCTCAACCTATTTATCCACTCTAATGCACGTTTCCCTGTCGATGTTTCTTCTCCATCGGCCGTCTGGTGGATGATCGTCAGCGTCGGCTATTCGGAGGTCTCGGACGGCAAGGCTACCTACTCAGGCCTCTTCCCACATCGCTTTCCCACATAGCAGAGTCCTCTCATGCCCACAGGTACCGCCGATAGGTACTCGGTCGGCTGGCAGCTTGCGCCGATTCGCTCCGAGCGGTCCGATCTTCGATCCGATTGATTCCAGCTGTCCCTCATATATCTACCGGTACCAAAACACTCCCCTCCGGCGGTTTGACGCTCCGGGGGTTATTATTGGGGTCGAAAACGTGTTTTTTTAACTAGGAAAGCCGCAACTCCGCATTTGGTCGCGTATCGATCGCACCACACCTCGTGGGTGCGAACCGGAGTTGATAGTGGTATTGCCATTAGTATCAAAGGGTATTGGGGTATCTACTAGCCTTTCTCTCACTCCCGTAAATGCTTAGCATGCCCGTAACATTCACCTTAAGCCTGAGAAATGTGAATTTATGGTCCAGGAAACGAAGTATCTCGGCCTTATTCTCACCCCGGATGGGAATAGGATGGATCCGAAGAAAGTTGTCGATGTTTTGGAATGGTCCACACCAAGGAATCTCCATGATGTTCAAGTATTTCTGGGATTTGCGAATTTCTATCGGCGTTTTATTTTAGGATATTCAAAAATTGTTGCTCCGCTCACGGCTTTGACCAAGAAAAATGTTAAGTTCGAATGGACGGACGAAAGGGAGGAAGCATTCCAGACATTGAAAAAGATTTTCACAACGGCACCCATACTAGCGCATTTTGATCCGAATCGGAAAATCGTAGTAGAAACCGATGCATCCGACTATGTTTCTGCTGCAATCCTGTCCCAACGTGACGACGAAGGAATTCTACATCCAGTTGCTTTCTTCTCTAAGAAACATTCCCCTGCGGAATGTAACTATGAGATCTATGATAAAGAACTTCTGGCAATTGTACGATGTTTTGAGGAATGGCGACATCATTTGGAAGGGGCACAATTCTCAATTGAAGTTCTCAGCGATCATAGGAACCTTGAATATTTTATGTCAACAAAGCTATTAAACCGTCGACAAGCCCGTTGGTCGGAATTTCTTTCACGTTTCGATTTCGTCATTCAATTTAGACCAGGGAAACAAGGGGCAAAGCCAGATGCATTGACTAGGAGGTCGGGTGACCTACCTAAGGAGGGGGATGAGCGGTTGACGCATCAAAGCCAGGTGGTTTTGAAGCGAAAAAATTTGGATTCAAAGCTAAGTTTGTTCGCGGGTTCTTTTTCAAATGAATCCGCTGAAGGAATGTCTACTGTAGAAGAGTTGTTTTCAAATGCTTACCAAGTTGACAGTTTCCTGAACAAAGTCCTTGCTGTTACGGGCATGCCAAGTATTTACGGAAGTGAGAGAAAAGGCCAGTAGATACTCCAATACCCTCTGTACGCTAATGTCATCTCTGGACCGCACTCGCGGAGTGTGGTGCGACCAATATACGATCAAAACACGGAGTCATTAAAAACACGTTTTCGACCCCAATAATAACCCCCGGAGCGTCAAACCGCCGGAGGGGAGTGTTTTGGTACCGGTGGATATATGAGGGACAGCTGGAATCAATCGGATCGAAGATCGGACCACTCGGAGGGAATCGGCGCAAGCTGCCAGCCGACCGAGTACCTATCGGCGGTACCTGTGGGCATGAGAGGACTCTGCTATGTGGGAAAGCGATGTGGGAAGAGGCCTGAGTAGGTAGCCTTGCCGTCCGAGACCTCCGAATAGCCGACGCTGACGATTATCCACCAGACGGCTGATGGAGAAGAAACATCGACAGGGAAACGTGCATTAGAACGGATAAATAGGTTGAGGGGTTCCAGCGGGTTTAGGAGTTTGGGTTACGGACTTAGGAGTTAAATGTTCTTGGTTGTTTTTCAGGGTCTCGGGCATGCCCCGAGTGTATTCTGTATTATTAGTAGACTGGGTCCTCGAGACATAAGCGAGGGATATAAATACTGTGTCATTCACTGACTAGCCAAACCATCATCGGCGAAATCAGAGTCTTAACAATATAAATCGTTGATACGCGAGTTACAACTTTATTTGACTATACTTTTGGAATTACTTTACTCTATCGTGACTTCGAACTCTACCTGAACTATTACGTCGAAGACGGTCGAACATCAAACGCTAACTCTAGTGAATCTTTGTTGATAACGTAGCTCGCGGGGCCCGTAACGGATCAAGGAGAATTATACTCGACGTTGACTGAAGAGACCTTGGAGACTTCTACCTTTGTAGCTGTTAGCCGAACTCTGAGCTCTGCGTAGTGTACTCTTGTGGTCTGGTACGCATCCCTCACAGTATATTGTTACTCACAAGTTCACTTGGAGTAACGAAGTCACCTCAAAAAGAAGAACTATCACCATTATCCCTTACCATAATGGCATTCCGAAGGGATTATTTCGTAGACACCTCGGCCGTAACAGACGAGGCCGCAGAGGACGCTATGGTACTATCTGAGGCTGTTAGCCCCGATCCCCTACTCCAGGGAGGACCCTCTACACACACTAGGTCAACGAGTAAACGCTCTACTCAAGCCCAGTTTACGAGGTCCATGCAGGAGTTTTTGGATACCCATGAGGCACAAATGAGGTATCTTGGTACAGCTGGACAGGCCGTTTGGCAGCAGCTACAAAACCTCCAGGAACAAGTGCAGGGGAGTGGGCAAATTCTGGATAAGAAAGCACGGCAAGAAGCCATCGCCCAGAAGCAACATCTCGAATCGCTCTTTGAGCTCGTCGAAAATGTTCGACAAATGCAAGAAACTGCACGAGCCGCCGACCACGAAATTCTGGACCGTAACCATCGAATAACCCAGGACCAACTGTTGGAGGCGGAACGACAGCTGAGAGTTGCAAGAGAAGAGCGGGAGCAGGAGAAAAGGGAACAGCGGGAACTGTTGGCACAATTCAAGCAGTCCGATGATGTGAGAAACCAACGAATAGCCGAGATGGAGGAAAGCCTACGACAACATATGTCGGTAGCACCCTCCATGGTGAGCATCCCCTTGGACCCTAATGCACCCCAAACGGTTCCTGTTGGCAACGGCAAGAACCCCGAGAATGCTGGCCCGGTAGGAGGAAATGCCGGCCCAGTAGGAGGAAACGCTGGTCCCGTAGGAGGAAATGGAGGCAGGCAATAAGAGGATGCCGGCCCGGTGCAGGGAGATAGTAGTAAGAAACCGGTGGGAGCTGCCCCCGTCGGCGGGAATGGTGGAAATCAACCTCCCCAGAACCCACCAAGAGGAAACGTTGAGGGAGACCCAGAACCTTCCGACGACGATGATGACGATAACAGTGAATGGTCGCACGGTCGGAAGAATTGGAGAAGGAACCGAGGCGGGAACCGGAATTCGGTGCCGCCTGAAGATGACGATATGGTAGATTCGCTCGCCAAAATACCCTTCGAGTTCGATAATGCCAGGAAGCATAATCTGCGGCATTGGCTCATGGAGTGCGAGATCTATTTCGAGCAGAAGCCCAAGAAGTTCCGAACGGACAGAAACAAGGTACTGTTCGCTGGAACGTATACGTGTGGGTTGGCAAAGGAATGGTTCATGGAATACATCGAGACCAAGATGCTAGGACCGGCAGCCGCGGACTATGCTACTTGGACTCGGTTCCGTCAGGAGATTAGAAAACGTTTCCTAAGCACTCAAGAGGCTATGGAGAACGCGATGAAGATGCAGCAGTTTAAGTACTCTGCTAACATCGGAGACTACCTGACGAGAATGGAGATCATGAACCAGCATGCTCAGATGAAAGGAGCATCCTATCGCGCCGCCCTGCTCCAAGGGCTACCCAATGAAATCCGGGAGCGCCACTCACGCTTCGATCCAACCGATGACGACTCCGAGTACATCCAACAGTTGGAACGAGCCGGCAAGGCTCATGAGGCCTATCAGGAGCAGATGAAGATGTTGGGGAAAGCGGAGTCGAGAGGAAGGGAGACGAATAATGCTGGGAACTCGCGGCAAAAGGAGAAGGGGTTTAAGATCAAGGGGAGAGCTCAGACCGAGGAGAAAGAAAAAGGGCAAGATAAGAAGAGCACCAGCAAGAACAAGTCGGGGAACAAACCAATATACCACGACTACGACGAAGCCACCAAAGGAGTTCCACAGCCGGTCCGAGAGCAGCGAAAGACCGATGGAGTCTGTGTACGATGTGGCCGAAAGGGTCATCTTTGGAAATGGTGTCGTTCAGATGCTAACAGCGGTGCATCTATCTCCTCTTTCTCCCGAAAGCGTACCCGCGATGACGATGGCGACCACGATATGGAACCACCGGAACCCCAACCTCCGAGAAAGCGTATGAGGCACCGTGCTAGAAAGCCGGCTGCTACGGCTGCTGCGGAGTACACCAGTGGGCAAGCGTTTGTGTGAGAACGCGGATCGGAATCTGAGATGGATTTCGACGAGGATTTTTAAAAGGGTACTCTGATGAGTCAGGTCAGGAGTACCCCCAGATTGCTATGTTATCACTGACGGAAAACAACAAAAAAAATATGAAAAGAAAAAGGCAGGAGGGGAGAGCGGCCCATCCGGAGAAAAAATAGAAAATTTTGGAGGAACCTATTCACGGTTCTCGACCTATCGTTAATCAGTTCCTTTGTTTTGCGGAAAAATGTTTACCTTATAAGGTGTTGTTGGATACTGGTGCAACTGGTCCTGTTTTGTCTGCTGTTTTTGTTGATAGTTTTGAGGTCCCGAAGGTGAAACGAGACGTCCCGGCCCGGGTATTTGGATTTACGGGAGAAGTTATGAAGGGCACGGGACACGCCTTTACACAACCATTAATTATAATGTCAAGGGGGCATCAGACACAGTTATCATTCGAAATCGCCCCTCTCCCACTTGGCATCGATGCGATACTACCGAACTGGTGGTTGAAAGAACACAAACCGGTTATAGGGGCAAATGGGGAAGTTTCCTACGATGGTGAGAACTGTAAGAGTGAATGCTTCACTGACAAGGAACCTCAAATAGAAATGGACGAGGGTGTATTGGACGATCCGGAAGCCCAATTCATCGGTAGTATTTGCCTTTTGGAAGATGAATCGGTCAACCTCCGCGAAACTCTTCCCTCTTGGCTCCATGGGTTCCTTAAAGTCTTCCTACCATCGGAAGCAGACAAATTACCACCGCATCGATCCTACGACCATGCGATAGATCTTGAACCAGGTAAACAGCCACCATGGGGACCCGTCTACTCCCTATCCGAAGTCGAGCTGAAGGTGCTTCGGGAGTACCTGGACAAAATGTTGCGATTGGGAAAGATTAGGCCGAGCAAATCCCCAGCAGGAGCCCCAATCCTATTTGTGAAGAAGAAGGACGGTAGTCTACGACTTTGCGTTGACTACCGTGGACTTAACCGCGTGTCCATCAAGAACAGGTATCCGTTACCACTTATGGACGAATTACGAGATCGAGTGGCGGGCGCGGTTATCTTCTCGAAGATTGACCTGAAGGAAGGTTATAACCTCATCAGGATCAAAGACGGCGACGAGTGGAAGACAGCCTTCCGTACGCGGTATGGACATTTTGAGTACCTCGTCATGCCTTTTGGGCTGGCAAATGCGCCGGCAACCTTCCAGAACATGATGAATGATGCGCTGAGGGAATTCTTGGATCAAGGTGTAGTAGTATACCTCGATGATATCCTAATATATAGCAAGTCTCGAGAGGAACATAGAGAGCTGGTCGGCAAAGTACTTAGTAGGCTACAAGAATACAACCTGGTCGCCAACCCGAAGAAATCATTCTTCGAGCTCACCGAAATCGAGTTCCTCGGATACATCCTTGCCCCAGCAGGCGTCACCATGGCACTGGATAAGGTCATGTCTGTTACGAATTGGCAAGCCCCGTGCAGCGTTAAAGAAGTACAGATCTTCATGGGCTTTGCCAACTTCTACAGAAGGTTTATCCACAATTTCTCCGGGGTCTGTAAACCCATTACCGATTGTCTCAGGGGTGATGCTAAGAACTTTGTCTGGTCTATGACGGCCCAAGCAGCCTTCGAAAAACTCAAAACCCTGTTTACGTCTGCGCCGATCTTGGTACACTTCTCTCCAGATCGCCAGACTATCGTGGAAACGGACGCAAGTGATTTTGCTATTGCCGCAATTCTATCCCAGGTTATTGACGGAAAGACTCACCCTGTCGCCTTTTATTCTCGGAAGCTTAACCCAGCGGAACTCAACTACGACGTCTGGGATAAGGAGATGCTAGGAATTGTGTCAGCCTTCAAGCAATGGCGTCACTACCTCGAAGGGCCTAGCCAAACGGTTCTCGTCTATACGGATCACAAGAACTTAGAGTACTTCTCTACCACTAAGGTTCTTAACCGACGACAGGCAAGGTGGGCTGAGTCTTTGGCGGAATTTGACTTCAAGATTATTTACCGCCCAGGAACCAAAAATGGGAAGGCAGATGCACTATCGCGACGGCCGGAGTACCGTCCTGAAGGGGGAGGCACGCTTGGGAAACAGCCGATAGACAGGTTCTTTAAGCCCGGGCAGTTGGCGGAGGAAGAGTTTGTGGTATCAGCGGTGTCGCTTGCCTCCAAGGGAGTGATCGACTGGTCTAGGAATTTTCTGGATCATGTCAGGCAGGCGGCATCGGGAGACCCGATATGGGTAGGAATGAGAGAGAGAGTTGAGCAAGGGGAGAAGCTGGGGGAATTGAAGGATATTGCCGAGAAAGACGGGCTACTCTTCTATAAGAACCGACTCTACATCCCGGCAGACGACCGTATCAAGATCCGAATCGCACAGGCAGAACACGACTCGAAAGTGGCAGGACACTTTGGACAAGACAAGACACTGGAACTCATCACGCGTAACTTCTATTGGCCAAAAATGAACGAGTGGATTGATGACTACGTTCGGTCATGCGACGAGTGCCAACGTAACAAACCTAGCCGCCATAAGAAATATGGTGCGCTTCTACCACTGTCCACGCCACATGCTGTCTGGCAATCGATATCAATGGACTTCGTCGTACAGTTACCGGAATCAAAGGGATACAACCAAATTTGGGTAGTAGTCGATAGGTTCTCGAAGATGTCGCACTTCATCCCCTTAGTAGCAGAAACGACCGCGCAGGATTTAGCGAAGATATTCCTCGGTCAAATCTGGAGACTCCATGGGCTGCCTCTCGACATAGTTTCCGACAGGGACGCCAAGTTTACTTCAAGTTTTTGGGCATCCCTTATGGAATTGTTGGATGTGAGGATAAGAATGAGTACGGCTTTCCACCCTCAGACCGATGGGCAAACAGAGCGAGTCAACCAAACCCTCGAGCACTACTTACGAGCGTTTTGTAACTACGAGCAAGATGATTGGGCAGAGCTACTCCCGTTGGCGGAGTATGCTTATAACAACTCGGTCACCACCGCCACGGGCCAATCTCCGTTCTATACCAATTACGGTTACAACCCAAGGACCAACTGGCCGACGGAAGCCGAAGTGGTTAACCCAACCAGTGACCTGTACGCTCACTTCATCCGAGGAGTTCATGACTCCGCTCTCGCTCGCTTAACAGACACCAGGGAGGAAATGGGGAAATACTATGATCGGAAAAGGGACGAACCGCCTAACTTCAAGGTGGGAGACATGGTTATGCTCAATGCGACCAACATCAAGACTCGTCGCTCTACCAAGAAACTCGATCATAAGAAACTCGGCCCGTTTAAGATTATCCGACTAGCTGGGAAACGAGCCTGCGAACTGGAACTGCCACCACAAGTCAAAATCCATAACGTGTTCCACATTGAACTCTTGGAACGTTACCGACAGAGCAGTATCCCAGGTCGCGAACAACGTCCCCCGACTCCCGAGGAGGTCGATAAGGAAGGAGAGGTGCTGTATGAAGTGGAAAGTATTGTGGGAAGCCGGAAAAGCAGAAGAGGATTAGTGGAATACCTGGTGAAATGGCGGGGCTATTCGATGAGTGACTGTACGTACCAAGTCATGGATGCTATGGATGAGGAGGTACTTGACCTTGTCCGCGACTTCCATCGAAGGAACCCCAAGGCTGTGAAGGACCAACGCCTGAGACTATAGAGGTACCCTACTGGGCTAAGTCCTTCCCCTCCACAGACACCACGGGTGATATGTGGAGCAGGTTTACTGGAACCATAGTCTGTCAGAAGATGTCCCGAGACGTGACACCCTGGAAGGGGGGTAAGCTGTTACGGGCATGCCAAGCATTTACGGGAGTGAGAGAAAGGTTAGTAGATACCCCGATACCCTTTGATGCTAATATCAACTCCGGTTCGCACCCACGAGGTGTGGTGCGATCGATATGCGACCAAATGCGGAGTTGCGGTTTTCCTAGTTAAAAAACACGTTTTCGACCCCAATAATAACCCCCGGAGCGTCAAACCGCCGGAGGGGTGTGTTTTGGTACCGGTGGATATATGAGGGACAGCTGGAATCAATCGGATCGAAGATCGGACCGCTCGGAGCGAATCGGCGCAAGCTGCCAGCCGACCGAGTACCTATCGGCGGTACCTGTGGGCATGAGAGGACTCTGCTATGTGGGAAAGCGATGTGGGAAGGGGCCTGAGTAGGTAGCCTTGCCGTCCGAGACCTCCGAAAAGCCACCGCTGACGATTATCCACTAGACGGCCGATGGAGAAGAAACATCGACAGGGAAACGTGCATTAGAGTGGATAAATAGGTTGAGGGGTTTCAGCGGCTTTAGGAGTTTGGGTTACGGACTTAGGAGTTAAATGTTCTTGGTTGTTTTTCAGGGTCTCGGGTAGTGTTACGGGCATGTCAAGTATTTACGGAAGTGAGAGAAAAGGCCAGTAGATACTCCAATACCCTCTGTACGCTAATGTCATCTCTGGACCGCACTCGCGGAGTGTGGTGCGACCAATATACGATCAAAACACGGAGTCATAAAAAACACGTTTTCGACCCCAATAATAACCCCCGGAGCGTCAAACCGCCGGAGGGGAGTGTTGTGGTACCGGTGGATATATGAGGGACAGCTGGAATCAATCGGATCGAAGATCGGACCGCTCGGAGCGAATCGGCGCAAGCTGCCAGCCGACCGAGTACCTATCGGCGGTACCTGTGGGCATGAGAGGACTCTGCTATGTGGGAAAGCGATGTGGGAAGAGGCCTGAGTAGGTAGCCTTGCCGTCCGAGACCTCCGAATAGCCGACGCTGACGATTATCCACCAGACGGCCGATGGAGAAGAAACATCGACAGGGAAACGTGCATTAGAACGGATAAATAGGTTGAGGGGTTCCAGCGGGTTTAGGAGTTTGGGTTACGGACTTAGGAGTTAAATGTTCTTGGTTGTTTTTCAGGGTCTCGGGCATGCCCCGAGTGTATTCTGTATTATTAGTAGACTGGGTCCTCGAGACATAAGCGAGGGATATAAATACTGTGTCATTCACTGACTAGCTAAACCATCATCGGCGAAATCAGAGTCTTAACAATATAAATCGTTGATACGCGAGTTACAACTTTATTTGACTATACTTTTGGAAATAATTTATTCTATTGTGACTTCGAACTCTACCTGAACTATTGCGTCGAAGACGGTCGAACATCACACGCTAACTCTAGTGAATCTTTGTTGATAACGTAGCTCGCGGGGCCCGTATCGGATCAAGGAGAATTATACTCGACGTTGACTGAAGAGACCTTGGAGACTTCTACCTTTGTAGCTGTTAGCCGAACTCTGAGCTCTGCGTAGTGTACTCTTGTGGTCTGGTACTCATCCCTCACAGTATATTGTTACTCACAAGTTCACTTGGAGTAACGAAGTCACCTCAAAAAAGAAGAACTATCACCATTATCCCTTACCATAATGGCATTCCGAAGGGATTATTTCGTAGACACCTCGGCCGTAACAGACGAGGCCGCGGAGGACGCTATGGTACTATCTGGGGCTGTTAGCCCCGATCCCCTACTCCAGGGAGGACCTTCTACACAAACTAGGTCAACGAGTAAACGCTCTGCTCAAGCCCAGTTTACGAGGTCCATGCAGGAGTTTTTGGATACCCACGAGGCTCAAATGAGGTATCTTGGTACAGCTGGACAGGCCGTTTGGCAGCAGCTACAAAACCTCCAGGAACAAGTCCAAGGAAGTGGGCAAATTCTGGACAAGAAAGTACGACAAGAAGCCATCGCTCAGAAGCAACATCTCGAATCGCTCTTTGAGCTCGTCGAAAATGTTCGACAAGAACAGGAAGCCGCACGAGTCGCCGACCACGAGGTTCTGGATCGTAACTATCGAGTTACCCAGAACCAACTGCAGGAGGCGGAACGACAGCTGAGGGTTGCAAGAGAAGAGCGAGAGCAGGAGAAAAGGGAACAGCGGGAACTGTTGGCACAATTCAAGCAGTCTGATGATGTAAGAAACCAACGAATAGCCGAGATGGAGGAACGCCTACGACAACATATGTCGGTAGCACCCTCCATGGTGAGCATCCCCTTGGACCCTAATGCACCCCAAACGGTTCCTGTTGGCAACGGCAAGAACCCCGAGAATGCTGGCCCGGTAGGAGGAAATGCCGGCCCAGTAGGAGGAAACGCTGGTCCCGTAGGAGGAAATGGAGGCAGGCAACCGGAGGATGCCGGCCCAGTGCAGGGGAACAGTGGCAGGAAACCGGTGAGAGCTGCCCCCGTCGGCGGGAATGGTGGAAATCAACCTCCCCAGAACCCACCAAGAGGAAATGTTGGGGGAGATCCAGAACCTTCCGACGACGATGACGACGATAACAGTGAATGGTCGCATGGTCGGAAGAATTGGAGAATAAACCGGGGCGGGAACCGGAATTCGGCGCCGCCTGAAGACGAGGATATGGTAGATTCGCTCGCCAAAATACCCTTCGAGTTCGATAATGCCCGGAAGCATAACCTGCGACATTGGCTCATGGAGTGCGAGATTTACTTTGAGCAGAAGCCAAAGAAGTTCCGAACGGATAGGAACAAAGTACTGTTTGCTGGAACGTATACGTGTGGGTTGGCAAAGGAATGGTTCATGGAGTACATCGAGACCAAGATGTTAGGTCCAGCAGCCGCAGACTACGCTACTTGGACTCGGTTCCGTCAGGAGATCAGGAAACGCTTCTTAAGCACTCAGGAGGCTATGGAGAATGCGATGAAGATGCAGCAGTTTAAGTACTCTGCTAACATCGGAGACTACCTGACGAGAATGGAGATCATGAACCAGCATGCTCAGATGAAAGGAGCATCCTATCGCGCCGCCCTGCTCCAAGGGCTACCCAATGAAATCCGGGAGCGCCACTCACGCTTCGAGCCAACCGATGACGACTCCGAGTACATCCAACAGTTGGAACGAGCCGGTAAGGCTCATGAGGCCTATCAGGAGCAGATGAAGATGTTGGGGAAAGCGGAGTCGAGAGGAAGGGAGACGAATAATGCTGGGAACTCGCGGCAAAAGGAGAAGGGGTTTAAGATCAAGGGGAGAGCTCAGACCGAGGAGAAAGAAAAAGGGCAAGATAAGAAGAGCACCAGCAAGAACAAGTCGGGGAATAAGCCAATATACCACGACTACGACGAAGCCACCAAAGGAGTTCCACAGCCGGTCCGAGAACAGCGAAAGACCGATGGAGCCTGTGTGCGATGTGGCCGAAAGGGTCATCTTTGGAAGTGGTGTCGTTCAGATGCTAACAGCAGTGCATCTATCTCCTCTTTCTCCCGAAAGCGTACCCGCGATGACGATGGTGACCACGATATGGAACCACCGGAACCCCAACCTCCGAGGAAGCGTACGAGGCACCGTGCTAGAAAGCCGGCTGCTACGGCTGCGGCAGAGTATACCAGTGGGCAAGCGTTTGTGCGAGAACGCGGATCGGAATCTGAGATGGATTTCGACGAGGATTTTTAAAAGGGGACTCTGATGAGTCAGGTCAGGAGTATCCCCAGATTGCTATGTTATCACTGACGGAAAACAACAAAAAAAATATGAAAAGAAAAAGGCAGGAAGGGAGAGCGTCCCAACCGGAGAAAAAACAGAAAATTTTGGAGGAACCTATTCATGGTCCTCGACCTATCGTTAATCAGTTCCTTTGTTTTGCGGAAAAATGTTTACCTTGTAAGGTGTTGTTGGATACTGGTGCAACTGGTCCTGTTTTGTCTGCTGTTTTTGTTGATAGTTTTGAGGTCCCGAAGGTGAAACGAGACGTCCCGGCCCGGGTATTTGGATTTACGGGAGAAGTTATGAAGGGCACGGGACACGCCTTTACACAACCATTAATTATAATGTCAAGGGGGCATCAGACGCAACTATCATTCGAGATCGCCCCTCTCCCACTTGGCATCGATGCTGTAACGGAGCCATTTCAACTGTCTGGTGTATGAGTACACACAGGGCCCGGTTACATGCTGAGAGTTATTGTTAGAAGCCAGTTGCACGGTGATATGCAAGTACCGGCAGTGTGGTTAGCTACCAGCTGTTAGAGTAACTACATTCCGGGCGCTAGGAAGGGGATCTATTCATGGGAGCAATGACTGACGAGTCTATGCCTCGCCAGTGACTAGAAGACCGGCCAGAGTGAAGCTCTGATTGCCCGGTGATCCTCTATATCCTCCGAGCATTGTAAGTCCGCTGAAGGGCAGGGACTATGCTAGGGAAGTCTACAATAAGCGAAAGCTTTACAGCAATGATTAAGCTTACACCTGAGCGGCAGCTCATTCATGCAGGTCCTCGGTTGTGTGGCAACCAAGACTGCAGGTGTTACAAAGGCTTTGACTAAGGGTGGTTGCCTTGGGTATCGGAAACACCTGCTAACGCCTAGAGAAAAGCGGGGTAGCGGTGGTATTGTTTCCGGTACTGAGGGAAGGCCCACCGGAACTTAGTAAAGGAGTTAGGAGCAGAGAACAGAGGCCTTCGGAGTATAAGTACTCAGGTTCATTCCCGCCCTTCAGTCCGAATTCTCTCCAGTCTTCATCAGAAAGAAAAACCAAGTTCTTATCGGTAGCAGAGCCCTTAAAGATTATTGAGTTCTAGCGATAGTATCTTTGAATAATCTGCAACCTGATTGTCTATCTTGCACGGCCGTCTCTATTCTACTTTAGTCTATACCTCTTAGAAAGGACCCCCGTTACAGATAATCTTTACGGCTCAAGTCACCTTCAGATTATTCTTCCTCTATACAAAATGTCCGCCCTCTCGGCTCCAGATGCACTCCTTCAGATTGAATGGCAGCCGGTGCCCCTCCAGCTGGATGCCACCGGGCAGACACAGCTTGTCAAAAAACCCAGGACCGCTCTACAGACCTACATTCCCGGCTGTGAGCCTGCCTGGCAGGATACCGACGAGATTTCCGTCCAACAGTTCTTCACAGAGCTCCAGACCTACCTCCAACACAGCCTGCAGAATCAGTTGACCCGGGGCAGTCAGGCCCTACTCATTGTACAAGAGCGCCAGGCAGCACAGAATGCTCTGATGGCAGAGGCTCTTGAGTACATGAGGAGGGAGGTCAACTCGGTTCAGGAAGAACTTCGGAAGTATGTGGAGAGGGATGAGCTGAATGCCGATGCCATGGAGATTGAGTGGACAAACCCGGCTACTCCACCAGACTTTGTTGCCGAGATACAGAGAGCCCTTGATGAAGGAAGACTGGTGGTGGGTAGACCAGCAACTCCGGCACCAAATCCAGGCTCTAGGTCCTCGTCCAGGGCAGCCACCAGAACAATGCAGCGGAAGACCAGTCCCTTCGCAGCATTTCCGGTCCGATCCACTAGGAGAGTTATCCCTATTGTGCAGCCAGCGGTGGGGGCTTCACCCTTACCACCTAGCCGCTTCGGTGGAACACATCCACTCCTTGGAGGAGCCGACCGATCCTTTGACTATGAAGGAGAGTTCTTCTCAGGTGCAGGCCGAGGACCTCCCAGCCCGCTAGCCAGGAACCCAGGAAGGTTCACCATGTCTGGGGCCGCTCAACCAGCAGCAACCTCTCCACTGGCCAGCAACCCGGCACCAGTAGCACCTGTGGCCCCTTCTGCTGCGGCCGCTGCTCCCCCTCCAGCCAATGCGCAGGGTGGAAGCGGTGGGAACCAGAACCCTCCACCTTCTGCGGCCCGCGCTCCTGCTCCTGGAGATTCAGACAGTTCTGACAGCTCAGACTCGGAACCAGAAGGAGGTAACAGGAGAGAATGGCGGAGATACCTTAAGAAGAAGTTGGAGAAGCAACAGAAGAACCTGTTGGCAATGATGTCCCAGCAGTATCAACCTCCAGCTACCTCCCACCCTTCTACTTCCACCAGAGCCCGAGAACCAAAGGCACCACCACCATCAAAGTTCCAAGGCAAGGCGGAGCAAGTGGAAACCTTCATCCGGCAATGTGAGAATGTGTTCTCCATTGAGAGCCTGTCATTTACCTCTGAGGAGGTTAAGATCCGATATGCAGGCAACTTGATGGAAGGGGAGGCAGCGATCCGATGGTATGAGGCATACCACAATTCAATTGATCAAGCCTCCGCCAACCGCCTTGCTGGAGTACCGGTGCAGTTGGATCAGAGATGGAAGCACTGGGATTCCTTTGTGGATGCTTTTAGAGCTGCCTTCGGAGAAGCCATCTCCAGAGATGATGCTGTAGCCCAATGGAATACCCTCACCCACACAGCTCGAGGAGGAATAGACCTCTTCCTGAATACTATTATTCAGCTGATGTGGAAGACTGGCTATGAGGGTCAGTTGGTGGATGATAAGATCCATAACTCCCTCCTCCCGGACCTAGGCATGAGTTGGGCTCTTTTCAACCCCAAGCCAAAGTCCTTGATGGAGCGGATAGCTGCTCTAAGAGAGTTAGGGCATACCCATGAGAGGTACCAAGGGATGGCAGCTGAGAAAGCGCACCCTCGGACCAAGAAAGATCCTCCCGCTCAGAAGGACCAGCAGCCTAAGAGGAAAAGAGAAGCTGCGAGCTCCTCCGGACCTCAGAAGACTCCAGGACCTAAAGACAAAGCGGTGGAACTGAAGGGTATCCCGGGGGATATTCTAGAAGAAAGAAGGAAAGCAGAAGTATGTTTGAAGGTATGACCTTCCGGTACTCCCTATTGGTAGAGTGCATAGACTGACTTGTGCAATAGTGCGGCAAGTCCAGACACAAATGGACCGATTGTTGGTCCAAGGAACCTACTGTTGTCCGAGTGGCAGCAGTGAGAGTACAAAAGCGGAAAAGAGGGAATGGCAAGTCCAACTCTCAGAAGAAGGCTAAAGTGGCTGCTGTAGTAGCAGAAGATCCACTTGTTGTACTCCCGGAGGTTACAGAAGATTTTGTTTTTCAGCCTGAGCAAGACTCGGACAATGAAATCATCTGGTAGAAAAGTGTCTGTTTGGGTCTATGTTTACTAGTTTTCTTTTATATGGGTTTTGGTTTCTATGTTTCTTTTGAATAAATTATGATTGTGTTTCCGCCTATTTGATTGCTACAAGCACTCTGAGGATGGGTTTAAGACCCGAAACAGCTGGTCTGTCAGTGCTCTACCAAAGTTATATTTGCTACCAAGACACTTCCAAACCGCTGCTAAAAAGACTACTACACAATACATCTGCTATATTACCGCTTGGGAATATAACCAAAGGATCTCTGATCTTAGTAGTGCCCGAAGCTATTAGCTATGTTGAAAAGACAAAGAGAAACAAGTTCAGAACCCGCTGTTAAGCAAAGAAGGTTGGAACAGAGGCTTCCCTCCTTACCAGTACATGGAAAAAGACCTATACTGAAGGCAGGACTGTCATGGACGGTCAAAGGAAAGGATGAAGGCGCCCAAGGGTCTTTCCTGTTTGACACCGGTTGTACAGGAGCTATCCTCAACCAGAGTTTTGTCAGGAAACATGGAATTCCCTTAGTGCGGCGGGATCAACCTCTGACAATGTTTGATGCTCAAGGAGATGTCATGATGGGAGGAGGCGAGTATTACACTCACCCGGTCCGTATGACTATGGGAGATCATAAAGAGACACTCCGATGGGAGGTGGCCACACTGGAAGAAGGAATGACCGGTTACCTGCCAATTAGTTGGGCTAGGAAGCATAACCCGGACATTAATTGGGAACTCAACACCATGAGCTGGAGGAGTGACTACTGTAAGCAGAATTGTCTCCCAGCGGCCACCAAGATTGAACTGATCTCTCCATACCAAATGTTGGAAGAAGAAGAGACAGTCTATCAACTAGTTGGTTCAGTATGGCATGATGAGGACGGAGGTGATATTGCTGAGAAAATACACCACCTATACCGGGATTGGGCTGATGTGTTCAGTCAAGAGAAGATTGAGGAAATGCCGCCGCATTCCCATAATGATTTAAAGATCAAACTCTTGCCTGGGACCGCTCCCCCATTTGGCCCGCTGTACCCATGTTCCGCTCCAGAATTGAAGGCCCTCCGAGAGTACCTGGACAAAGAATTGTCTTCAGGAAAGATCTCTAGATCTAATAGCCCCGCTGCGGCGCCCATACTGTTTATTCCTAAGAAAGATGGGACATTGCGGATTTGTGTGGACTACAGAGGATTGAACAAGGTCACTGTCAAAGACAAGTACCCGCTGCCTATCATGAGTGAGCTCAGAGACAGGTTGTTCAAGGCCAAGATCTTCACAAAGATAGACCTGAAGAACGGCTTCAATTTGATCAGGATAGCAGAAGGTGATGAGTGGAAAACCGCTTTCAGAACCCGCTATGGACTGTATCAGTATAATGTGATGCCATTTGGTCTATGCAATGCTCCCTCCGCCTTCCAGGCAATGATCAATGATGTGCTGAAGGAACTACTGGATGAAGGAGTGGTTGTCTATATCGACGATATCCTCATCTACTCAGAGACTGAGAAAGAGCATGAGCTACTGGTCAAGAAGGTCTTACAGAAGCTAAGGGAAGCTAAGCTCTGTGCCTCGATCAGTAAGACATCCTTCCATGTCCGAGAAGTAGAGTACCTAGGCTATCACATCTCGGAAAAGGGAGTGTCTATGTCAGAAGACAAGGTGGAGGCAGTTAAGGAATGGCCAATCCCTGAGAATATCAAGGCAGTACAGGCATTCCTCGGATTTGCAAACTTCTATCGCCGCTTCATTGAAGGCTTCAGTAAGGTTTGCAAGCCATTAACTGACCTCCTGCAAAAAGATAAGAAATGGTATTGGACGGCAGTACATGAGCAGGCCTTTGAAGAACTCAAGAGGCTGTTCACAACTGCTCCAATCCTCCTTCATTTTGACCCTAGTAGGAGAACGGTGGTCGAGACAGATGCCAGTGATTTTGCCAAGGGAGCGGTGCTCTCTCAGTATGGGGATGATGGGAAGCTACATCCGGTGGCATTCTATTCTAAGAAGTTCTCCCCTGCTGAGATCAACTATGACAT